GAGCTTAGCTACTTTCTGTCACCATGTCCGATGCCAAGTTTTGGCTAGAGGGGAATAAAGCCCCCCCAGCATTGGGCTTTGGAGCAGTGGGACTGCGTACCTGACCTCACTAATGCTCTTGTGGCTGAATGCAATTAAATCCTCACAGTGATGTTCCAACAGCTAGTGTAAAGACAGAAGGGTAGAGGCTGTTACTGCAGCAAAGAGGTACAAACTGCCTATTAATACCATTGATTTCAGAAGAAGTGTTAAATAAGCAGATGTTTACATACTTTTGGACCTATTGAACCAGTTTCCCAGACCCAGATCAAGCCTAAGTCTAAACCAAATATGATTTGTAATAGTAAAACACCCTTTTGCATTGCTATTTAGTCTAAGGCTAGGTTTAATGTCCAAGAAACCAGCCCATTGTGCAGATGATTTGCTGTTCTGTCTTTCAATAATTTTTTATATAGTAAGACTCTAATCTACACACCTAAAGAAGATGGTTCTTCAAGGCTTCTCTAGTAAAGGCAATGGTTCATTATAGAACCATAATTTCTATGTAGAAACATTTCATGCTTACATGGTTATTTGCATGGTGAAATGGTTCTTCAACAATTGGAGGATGTGTTGTATTTGGCTCTATATAGTACCGAAATAGTGCCACACTTGTAACAATAGAAGAACCCTTTTTGGTGTTATATAGAACCATGTTCAAAAAGGTTCTGTATAGAACCATCTACAACACATTTTCCATCAATCTGAAGAACGATTTCACTATGCAAAGAACCATTGAAACATGAAATGGTTGTATACAGATTACATCTATTGCTTTTACTTAAGTTTGTGTAATTTAATATTGCCTATAGAGCAAACTTCACCTGTGGTAGTTTGGTATCTACATTTTTATGTACAAATCTGACTAAACGTTGAAAACTGGGCACTGCTGAACTGTTCAGATCATACAGAAGGTAGGTAGTGAGACTGTAGGAGGGCATCAATGTCCTAACTTTCTGATCACTGATTGACCAAGGTACTGTCCTGCACTCAGCAGTGATGACACAACCTAAAAGGTAAAAGTGCTTGTTAACAAATAAGAAATCATTGCATTGGTGCATACTTCTCTAATGATGGCCTTGCACTGTTAAAAGTTAAAAGTACAAACTGTTCATTTGGGTTGGAGCATCTCAGGGATGTTATAAAACTTGCTCAATGTTTCCATGTTGAGCAATAGGTACATCAAATGTGAAGCATGGAAGTGTTGTGATGAGAGACAGAAATGTCTGGTGGGCCACAAACAACACTGCCAGTACATTACCCCATAGGCAAACACATCCACTAAGCTTTATTTATGAATTTGTTTATATGTTGTGCGCTGCAAAATGTAACTTGATTTCTTCCTGAAAGCACTGATGGCTGGGAATATACTCTATTTTTAGATATAAGACTAGTAACTTTACCTTCTAATAATCTAAAAATATAACCATTACTTGTGTGTGTGATCTCAGTGGATGAAACTGATGATCAGCTGCTGACTGGATATAGCAAGTTGAGCAATGCTTTAACCAAATGACAGTGACACTGATCTCAATTCCACCATGTTGACCAAATTATTGGAACTCCACAGGTGTTGAGCTGAGATTTCTCCAAGTGGCCATTGATCACCAATAAATTCTGATCAGCCTTTTCAGCTTAATCCAATTTCTAAACATAGCCCACAGTGCATAACCAATTGCTCATCTGTGCTTAAACATGATCTATTCTTACCCTAGCACACCTCTCAACAGGCTATCACAAAATGGAGGCTTACCAGAGCACGGTGAATAATTTAAGTCCTTTCTAATCAATAAGAAATGCCTGCTGCTCCTTGTGGCACCCCTGCTCCAGCATGTTCTATTTCTGTTTTACCAAGTAACCTGATGCATGGCCATAACAGTACAACTGTGACACAGCAAAGTAATGGATCTTTCAGTCTCATGCCACTGTGCACGCCTGCCTGAAGTCCACCATGATTAAAAAAAAGTATTTGGAAAAAAAGTGTTATACTGAGTGAAGACAAGGGAAAACTTTTTCTTATCCCTCACTCTGCTGCTTTTTTTCCACGATAGGAAATACATATAAATAAATTACAAGCTTCATTATGGAGATCGAGAATGGTTGCATAATCCAACAATATGGGGAAAAACTGTATGAATGGAATACTTTAACTGATCTGGCCCTGAAAATAATCATTAGGGTCTTTAATAGGGCCATTACATACATACAGCTTCATATTTGGAATTTTATGTACAGAAGTTATGACTAATTCAATAACACAATGCTTTATAGTGCAATGCTTGTGTGTGTAACAAATTATATGTTGAGACATCTAGGAGAGGAACCAGAGAAGGCCAGACACTTGAACATTAAAGGGAAACTCCAGTGATTTTTTAACATTTCTGTGTTATTAATTTTAAAAAATATAAACAAAGTAATTCAGAATAGTTTGATGTTTAATGCCCCTTTCTAGTGAAAACTGCAGAGTCTGAATTGTTCAGAGCATTCATGATGGGAACCAGACATCTAAAGAGTTTAAAAGGCCCATATCCTGCATTTTTTTAAAGGTTACATCACAAACTGTTATTACACAAAATGCTGATGCCTGAGACATTGTTTAACGATAGTTTTGAGATAAGGTTTTTGCCTAAAATGTTTTTTTTTAAAAATGCATTCACGGCAGAGAGTTATGTGCAGTGAGTTGTAAGGCAAATAGTAGATTTTATCTAATATTGTTCGATAAAAATAGATTTTACCATTATCAACATTACATATAAAACTCAGAAGACAGGTGTAGGTTCTATGGTCATTTTGGATACTAACTCCCATTAAAATTTGACCTATGGCCATATACGCACATATATCATAAAGTGTCAGGCATATATTTCAAAATGTATGTATATGTACATATATAAACTATATGGACAAAAGTACTGGGGCACACCTCTTAATCATTGAATTCAGGTGTTTCATTCAGTTCCATTGCCACAGGTGTATAAAACAAAGCACCTAGCCATGCAATCTGCCTTTACACACATTTGTGAAAGAATGGGTTGTTCTAAAAACGTCACTGAATTAGAGTGTGGTACTGTAATGAGATGCCACCATTGCAACAAGTCTGTTCGTGAAATTTCTTGCCGCCTAGATATTCCACGACTGACTGTAAATGAGTAGTATTATTGAAAAGTATCAGACCAACGCTCTGCTGACTCAATAATTGCAGATTTCTACACCTCCTCTGGCATCAACATCAGCACAAAAACTACACCAGGAGCTCCATGGCATGAGTTTCCATGGAACAGCTGCATTTTGTCCATATAGTGTACCACATATTGGACACATATGCATAGCATATGGATTATATCTGTATGATAAGTTGGTGAATACGTACAAGACTAAAATGTGGATCATACATATATTCTAGATCTAATATATGTCTGATGCATGGATCCTACATATATTACATGGACAAAAGTATTGGGACACCTACACATTACACCTACAGGACCTTTTATGACATCCCATTCTAAATCCTTTGGCATTGATATGGAGGTGGTCCCCCTTTGCAGCTATAACAGCTTCCACTCTTGTGAGAAGCTTTCTACGAGATTTTGGAGTGTGTCTGTGGGAATTTTTGCCCATTCATCCAGAAGAGCATTTGTGAGGTCAGACACTGATGTTGGACGAGAGGGCCTGGTTCGCAATCTCCGTTCTAGTTCATCCCCTAGGTGTTCGATGGGGTTGAGGTCAGGGTTCTGTGAGGGCCAGTCAAGTTCTTCCACACCAAACTCATGCAGCCATGCCTTTATAGACCATGCTTTGTTCCCTGGGGCTCAGTCATGCTGGAACAGAAAAGGTTCTTCCCTAAACTGTTCCCACAAAGTTGGAAGCATACATTTGTCTTAAATGTCTTTATCTGCAGAAGCATTAAGATTTCCCTTCACTGGAACTAAGGGTCCTAGGCCAACCCCTGAAAAACAACCCTGCATTATCCCTCCTCCACCAAACTTTACAGTTGGCACAATGCAGTCAGGTAGGTAACGTTCCCCTGGCATTCACCAAACCCAGACTCGTCCATCAGACTGCCAGATAGAGAAGCGTGTTTCATCACTCCACAGAATACTCCAATGGCAGTGTGCTTTACACCACGCCATCTGACGCTTAGCATCGTGCTTGGTGAAGTAAGGCTTGCATGCTGCTGCTTGGCCATGGAAACCCATACCATGAAGCTCCCGGTGCAGAGTCTTTGTGCTGAGGTTAATGACAGAGGAAGTGTGGAACTCTGAAGTTACTGAGTCAGCAGAGCGTTGACAACTTTTATGCACTATGCACCTCAGCACTCGGCGACCCCGCTCTGTAACTTTACGTGGTCTGACACTTCGTGGTTGTGTTGCTGCCATTACTAAACACTTCCACTTTTCAGTAATGCCACTCACAGTTGATCGTGGAATATCTAGTAGGGAAGAAATTTTGCGATCTGACTTCGCAATGGTGGCATCCTATTACAAAACCACGCTCTAATTCAGTGAGTTCCTTAGAACGACCCATTCTTTCACAAATTTTTGTAAAGCCAGACTGCATGGCTAGGTGCTTGATTTTATACACCTGTGGCAAGGGAACTGAATGAAACACCTGAATTAAATGATTAAGAGGTGCGTCCCAAGTTGGACACAAGAAGAATCCATATGTGCTAATATACGACGTATATCTGATGTCCATATATTGCAATATATTACACATCTGTATGGGAAATAAAATGTTTGCGCTGTGGCCCCGGATCCTATCACCACCAAGAAAATCTGTGTCGGTATCTTTCTCCATATTGCATCATTTCACATCCAACCACTCTGATCCCAATGACTGAATTATGCCAGCACTTCGATAAACCGCTGGAATTCCTCTTTAAGGTAGGCTGGCGTTTTTCATCAGACGTCTTCTGGTCCGCAGACAGCTCGCTTTATTTGGAGAGGCCGGAAGTGCGAGCAGCGCTGCAGTTCTATTGGCTGAGAGGGACGCTGAGAGCGGCGGGGACCAGACCGGAGCAGGAGATCCGCCAACCGCTGATTTACAGCAAAACCTGGAAATAAAAAGCCGAATTACAGCCAAAGGTAAAGCCGCTTCTTCAGAACCACTATCTCGCAGGTGTTTTTATAATATACAACCATTTTTGTCTGACAGGACAGAGCAGCGTAGGCGCGAGAGGCTCGGTGGAGCGGCCGGGGGCGGGAAGCGCGCGCTCCGCTGAAACGCGCCGTTATTGTTTTTGAGACATTCAGTCACGTTCACCTTCGCATTCGCTGTGTGGGCAGGAGCGGAACACACCGCGACAACAAAGGTTTGAACAGCAGCCACTTTTTGCGCTCGGTCGTGTTTTGTTGTCAGAGGTTACCTTATTATCCTCCCCTCTCCGCAGGACTCCGTCGGCAGTGTCACCGCGTTTTAGGCGACGTGTCAGGGCTTTTCTGTGGGTTCAGGGCTGCATTACCGGCGTGGGCTCCTTCTAGTTTTCGGTGAATGGTTCAGGCTAGACATACTTTTAGTATTTTAGATATAGGCTGCTTGCGCGCTGTGTTCGTGAGTGTCAGTTTGCCCTGTTGGTTCATGTACATTTGGATACTGTCAGAAATTTATTTCACAGAAACACATTTTAATAAAAAGATAATTTGAGTATGTCAGCTGAAGCGCCTAGTGTAGCTCTCTGGCTTGGCAACTTTGTCATGCACTGGGAAAGTGGGCCTTCTGTATATTTCATCTGGAATGAGTGTCTGTGCTGGATTACACCTCAACAGACCTTGTTCCCCTCGACTGAGACAAGGTGTGTCAATCAAAGCTTCAGATACAGGCTTACAGTGCCGCTCTCATTGGCATTTGTTAGCTTTCACAAACTTCTTTTTTCTTATTTGTGTAAGACAAAACTTTAGTTGTTTCATATGTGCTTTTCATGGAAAGCTGTATAATAGATTATAGAAAACCTCTCAAAATTCAAAAGTGAACCCATGAAGACCCTGAAAGCAGGAAGAATGCATGAAAAATGCTAATATGATGCCAGACTGACAGAGCCATGCTGTGCCTTTCATACTGTCTCCAAATGCCTTTTTAGATGAATTCATAAGTGATGAATTAGCAGCACTCACATTTTCAGAAGCGAGCCAACAAATTCACTGTATAGTTACTGTCGGCACCAGCACTATATCAAAGCTCCATAGCTCATCCAGAGTTTTACATACATGACATACTCCAGTCTCATATATGTTTAGGAAGGGCAGCTTAGTTCGCCAGGAGTCTCGCACCTACAGTTGAGCACAGCTCAGATCATGTAATCTATGTCATCATTGGTGCATCCATCACAGTCTGTAGTTGCAAGGCGTGGAGCCTCAGGCTCTGGAGCCTAAGGCTCTGGAGCCTAGAGCTGTGTGGCTAAGAGGCCGAGGGCTTCTGCTACCTCTGAAATAGCCTCTGAGGCCTAGGTCAGGCATTTGGCACGTCAGAGAGAATTCTCCAGAGAGATTACAAGATGACGTGTGCATTTCCACACAGGGCCACTATTAATTACTGCTGACAAATCTCAGAGAGAGAGAGGCAAATTGGAGAGCTGGGTATTGTAGAACACCATCAGGAGACACAGGTAAACGTGCTGGTTATTTTAGTGCATTTGCAGTAAACACACTAAACCATTGGTTTCCCTCTCTGATTTTCAGGTAAAAGTATTGGAACTTTGCATTGTGTGATATGGCTGGAGACTGTGCTGTCAGTGGGGATGGCCGAACTGAACTTTTCTTATCGTTCACTGTTCCAGAGAAGCTATAGTTAATAGACGGGCTTTAGACAATTACTGACAGTCTTCTTAATTTCCAGATGAACTAATGTATTTTGATTTAAATAGAGATAACAGACAAGGCAATCAGGTGGGGTTTATTTCACTTCTGAACTCTGATTAGAAGCTATCCTAGTATCATTGGAGAGATTTTAATCACACAAATTGTTTGGCAGGTGAGGTCATCTTTCACTGACTCATCCCAGATTGGGTGACCAGATTCCATTTCTTTCCTAACTTGAGAGAGATCATAGTAGCCTCTTAAAAGTCTGGTACTCGTACAGGTGCCTCTCTCCACCTCCCTCTGGATAATGGAATTAATTTAAGATGATGCTAGTCTCTTAATCCTTGAATTCACATAGAGATGGGTATTAATATCATGTCAGACCTTGTTATTAATTTCTCTACGCATTGTGTGAATGGCATCAGCTCTACTGTAATTTATCTTCATTTGCTATGAGTGAATGACCTCAAACAAAAGGCAATGGCGTGAATAAGAGAACAACACAACAAAAAGAGCGAAGACTCATGAAAACAAATACATACAGAAGAATTATTGTTGATTGATGAGAGTCACATTCAACCTTTTGTGGACCTTTGGAAGTTGTTCTCACATTGGTATTTGCAGCTTGAGTGAAGTTCATATGACTTGATTCCTCTTTGATTTTCTGTGATCCTGGTGATGGTGTTGTGAGGGGCTATACAACTGAACTATTAATACTTTTTAGTCTGCATGCTCAGTGTACTGCAACTGGCGTTTTGTAGTCTTTCCCACATCCCCCAGTCTTCCTTTTTTTGGAAATCCTCATGGAATTACTCACCACACAGATGGGCAGAATAGACAAGACAATTTCAGTATTTTGTAGGGATGTTACATTACAACATGCCTTTATGATCATATTGTGGATATCGTCAGTACAGTAAAGACTAACTGCTTTTATTTATTATTTGCACCCTTGATAAAAGACAACGAAAAAGTGTTATTGATCAGCTTGATTTTACACTGAAAATATGTTTGTACAGTTAGGTCCCTAAATATTTGGACATTGACAAAGTTATTGTTATTTTTGCTCTCTAGCACAGCATATTGGACTTGAAATTAAATAATGAATATGAGCTCAAAGTGCAGATGATCAGCTTTAATTTGAGGATATTATAGCCAAATAAGGTCGATTTTGTAGGAAATACAACCATTTTCGTACATAGACCACCATCTTTAAGGGGTCAAAAATGGATGGCTGCTCAGCTGTTTCATGGCCAGGTGTGTGTTATTCCCTCATTATTTTACTTATTAGTAACCAGATAAAAGGTATAGAGTTGATTTCAAGTGTGGCATCTGGATTTGGAATCTGTTACTGTTAACTCTCAATATGAAGTCCAAAGAGCTAGTGTAGCAAGCCATCACTAGGCTAAAATCAGAGAGATAGCAAAAACATTAGATATGCCCAACCAACTATTTGGTACATACTTCAAAAGAAAGAATGCACTGGTCAGCTCAGAAACACAAAGACCCAGAAGACAATGGAAAACAACTGTAGTGGATGACCGAAGAATTCTTTCCCTGTTGAGGAAAACTCTTCACAACAGTTGGCCATATCAAGAACACCTTCTAGGTGGTCAGCCTATCCGTGTCAAGGTCAAAAATCAAGAGAAGTAAAAACCAGAGTAAATACATAGGGTTTACCACAAGAAGTAACCAAAGTCAGGTTGACCAATTTAGAGTTGGCCAAACAACATCTAAAAAAGCCTGTACATTTCTGGAACATATCTTACGGATAGATGAGACAAAGATTGACTTGTACCAGAATAGTGGGAAGAGAAATGTATGAAGACGGGAAGGAATTGCTCATATACCAAAGCACACCACCTCATCTTAAGGTAGTGTTATAGTATGGGCATGTATTGCTGCTGGTGGAATTGGTTCTCTTGAATTTATTGATGATGTGATTGCTGATTTAAATTGCAACCACAATATTAGTCAGAAAAATCACAATTGAATATTTTCTCCGAATCGTTCAGCCCTACCTCATTCTCACTAAACATCAGTGGAACTTGGGCTTATATGGCCAAAATATAGCGTTTTGTAGTGAAACACCAGATGTTGGCTTGGTGTCAAGTCAAGATCACACAAGAAAGAACCACTGTTCCCCACTGTGGAGTATGGTGGTAGATCAATGGGAACTGTTGGAACTATTTTTCTTTCAAGGATCCTGCAAATGTAATTTTTTCTTTGAATCGTTTTACTTCACCAAGTTTGTCTCACATATTTAACAGCTAAACAGACATTTTTCCACAGTGTTTTTTGCTTGTGTGTTAATGGTTGGTGGTTGTTTGTTTGAGATACTTGAAGACAGTGTGACGCATATGTAGATAACTTTTTCAATTCTGACTTTTTACAGGCCTTTCTTGCCATGGAAGCACTAGTTGATCGACTGGAACAGGCTGTGATTCGCCTGGAGACAGTTTCAGCCAAGCTTCAGGATTGTTCTCCAAGCCTGGCCAACGGTGACATCAATGGACTCAGTGGTACTGTTGTAACACTGAATCAATGACACATTTTTGTTAATGCTAGTCAGATACAGTTACATGTATACAAACTCTTTCTCAAGAGTGTCCCAAAAAGTGGGTTTTGCTCATTGTGAACTGTGCAGTGCTTAAAATGTTGAATTTATTGACATTATGCATCATGCAGACATGATTGTGTGATTTACAAAGCCCCTCAAAGCATGACAAAGCATGATAAACAGCACCCAAAGTGTTTTGATGAGTCTACTGAAAATGAATTGATCAAAGAACAAACTACTTTTGACATTTATGAATTTGCCCCTCCATTGAAAATTCTTTCTAACACCAGCCAGATCACACTGAGAGAATACATTCAGCTAATTGCCTAACCATGTTGTATCCTTTCAAATAATTCATAACCTTGTTGTCTTTGCTGGTATATTGTTATATTTTCCTGTTTGTTACAATAATTGTCTTCAAAGGTGAGCCCCAATGCGTGAATGCATTTGATCATTTACTAAGAGGCCCTCTGTGTGAATACTTGAAGAACAGCCGGGCTGTTGGAGGAGATGTGGCAAAGCATGTATGTACAAAAGTGTTGTGTGTTTGTGCATGCTACACACAGACAGAGGGAGATATACATTTTGCTATTCTGAGAGAGGGGACATTCTCACCTAAGCACATCTTTAAAACAATCTGAAACATACAAAGAACATATAAACAAATGACCAAATTAACACTCCCAAAGTATACAAAGTATGTCTTGTTGACATTTTGTACAAAGCTCCTTCCAAAATTGTTCTGTGTCTTTAGCCTGATATGAAGAGAACAAAACAGTGGAAAAAGTGGGTGGTAGAGTACAAGGAGCAAATGTGAGTGCTCTACAGTACAAAACGAACAGAAACTAAGCTGGGAATTCCCAGCTATTCCCACAGCTGTGCTGTACCTGTCATATGGCTTTCTTTATGACTCATTGTGAGAGTCATTATATTCATATGCAACTGCCATGGAGGAACCCCTAACAAATCAGAGACCACTCAGTGTATAAATGCTACATGAAGTCTGTCATACACATCGCTGTCCTAATTTGTAAACTGGCTGTGTGATAGACTTGTGGACTCTTAACTTGTAGAGTGCAGGCTCTCTAAAATAATCCTCCTCATTAATCACCTGTCAGACAGTGACTCTGCTCTCACAGTATGACCGACAGTTTCTTTCCACACTCATTAAGAGGTCATAACCCCAAAGCAACATTAAAGTAATTTGTCATGTAAAAGATGGTAGTTCTAAGCTGTCTGCTGCCTTAAAGTTCTGAGGAACACATAGTGAACACTTGGGGGTCTCTGTCAAATGAAATTGAGGTGTTTGTGATCTAAAGCCAGATATGAAGATAAATATTAAGATAGATAATATTAGGATAATAATAATAACAAAAACTTGCACTTAGCAATTTTTCCCACTCTTCCTTGCAAAAAAGTTCAGGCTTCTTTATATTACCAGATGATCTCCTGTGCACAGCCTATTTAGGTAATTTCAGCTTTCTGACAGAGGCCAGCAGGTTTAGTGCCAAAACATCTTAATATGATCTCATCTATCTTGACTAGGGCCCCTGTCCCAACTGAAGAGAAGCTTCCCCAAAACATGATGCTCCAACCACCATACTGCACAGTAGGTGTGGTGTTCTTTAGTTGATGAGCTGTGTTGTTTTTGCAGCAGACTTGCCTTTTAGAATTCAGGCCAAAAACATCAATCTTTGTGTCATCACAAAGTGTTAGCTGGTACTTAATGTACTTTTACTGTTTTGACAGATTGTAATGTACTTTTGAGTGATTTTTAATGTACATTTTTAAATGTACTTTTTTGCAAGGCTGTATAGACTTTTCATATCCACTTTGCACACAAGATCTTGCAGTACATCTACATCTATTCTTACAACAATAAAGAAATGTTTCCTAAATGACTAACCAGTGACAGAGACTCCAAGTTGGATGAACTTTTTTGTGAAAATGGCTTTGAGTTTTCTGCTGTACCCCATGACCCAGACATTTGCAGAATTTGAGAGATTTTTGTCACATACAAGGAGCAGATAGTTCCTGCCAGAAATTCCTCTAGCTTTTTAATATTGCTTTAGGGCTCTTGATAGCTTCTCTGATAATATTTCTTGTCCTCTCATCAACTTTTGAGGATTTTCCTGACCATGGAAATGTCCCTGTGTTGCCACATTTTTTCTGCTAAATGATGAGAGTCTTCACAATGCTCTATGCTCTATGATACATCCAGTCCTTTTATAACATTCCCCTGGTCTATTCCTTTTACCTTTAGTCTGTGGATGTTTTGTGAGCTCCTCAAGTACCATAGCTATCCCAGAAGAATGAAATTATGAATCAAGAACAGCTACAGGAACAGCTGTTTTTTTATTTGTGGTTATTCAGAATTACTTTAATTCAGAGCAGTGATATCCTGCTTATTTTAGGACATCATACTGAGTGTGATAAAACCCTTATTATAAAAGGGTGTGCATGCTTAAGCTGTCACAATATTCTGGTTGTTTTATTTTTAATTTCTTTTCTTAGTAATTATCTATTTCTTTTTCTTTTAAATTTGGGTAGTTGCAAGATTCCATTAAACATGGAAATATGTCCAACATTTTCTATGTTGATGTTTGGCTTTTTTATAGCAAAAACCTGAAATTTCAGTACAGGTGTGTAGACTTTTAATATTCACTGTTTATGGCTGCTGTGGCCCTATCAGAAATGGAAGTATGTTAGAAACTGTCATTCATATGTTTGAATTCTAGAGGTAAACCCATCCTCTAGATTCTTTTTTACATTGTTTTTTATATGACTTCAGTACTTGAATATTGTAGGCGCTGGTGTAGCCAGGTACACATTGTATCTTTTCTTTATTTTGACTTCAACATTAAATCCAGCCCAATCCCCTGCCTTTAGCTAAGAAATTCAACTTTTGAACCTGAACGTGTAAGAATTACAAGAAACAGTTTCATAAAGTGCTCTACCACGAAAGGCAACACTTACTAATCCAGCTCCCTCATTGCTGCTGAAGGAGGTTGGATGGGATAATGTTTTTATCCCTTATAGTCAGCTCCTTTTATGGTAATAGCCTCTGGGTTCCTCTCATCTGTAAGAGGAGGTCTTTTCCCAAACATTGGGTTTGCCTCCTTGGACCTGACCCTCCTTGGAGTGTGTATGTGAGTGTGTGTATATGTGGTGCGTAAGAAAGACTGTAACTTTGAGGGAAGTTCAGGGAGCCCTAAGCAAGGATGTTTATGCTACAGATGCAGCTCTAACATGAAGTTTGACACACAAGTGTGGTTAATGTGTTGTTATAATTGTAAGTATTTCTTTAGTGGTAAGTCAAATAACACAATGCATATTTCTTTGCACACTCCAAGTATCAAAATTTGATTCACAAGTTTGTGTTGGGTTAGGCACATCTCTGCTAAATGCTACCCTACAGATGATGAGTTACTTTTACATTGCTTAATAGGCTGTAGCTCTGTCTCTGTCAGGTCCTTGTTGGCTGTTTGAATGGGTTTTTTATGTGGATTTTCTTTTACTTAACAGGCTGAGATGGTACAAAATGCCCTGCAGTTGCAACGGACCTTCCTAAAAATGGCCTCCTCGCACCAGGAGCCTGCACAGGTAAAGACTAAGAAGAGCTTGTCTGCATTTATGACTTTTCATCACATAATTATCAGTGATTATCACTCAAATAACTTATTGTGGAGTTTCAGGAGTGGTCTACACATTTCTGTTGAGATGCCCTAATACACACATATTATTAATTGTCAGTTGTTAAAATGCAAGAGCTGTATGAGAGCTGTGTTAGTGGTTTTGAAAGGACCCTATCTCACTGTCTGTTGACCCTAATAATACATGGAAATAAATTGGTTCTTGGTCATATGACTACAGTTAACATGCACATATATCATTCCATTCAAAACTTTTGTAATCAGTTGTCTCTGTACATTACACACATTCTTCAAGTCCATACTGATACTGATGGAGGTAATCATGTGGGTTGGCTTCCACATCCTTTGAATGTGTGATTGAAGGTTGTGGTGTCCATAAGCTTCCGAGGTTCAGTGGGTTTGCCCTGGTTTACACTGCTATATAGAGCTCTTCCTCTGCTCCATACGGTTCTGAGGTTATGTGGTCAGCCATGCGACATTGGGCTCTCTGTGCACATAGGGATTACCTCCACTGTTCAAAAGAACGCCAATACAACACATTCCCAACGCTTCACACAGTGGCCCCGAGGGGAAGTCTGGGAGGCCAGCCTGATGTCATTACATCGGACTTTGGTTTGTGTTGTCTGTTGCCCAAACAGGAAGTGATTAGCTTCGAGCGTGCAGGCCATTGGACGAGAGGAGAAGCAGGAATAAAGTCGTCTGATAAACAAACAAGCTGTTCAGATGCATGTTCAGGCTTGAGCATCATGGCTCATTGCAGCTATTTTCTGAAATGAAGGATGTATTTCCCAGAGAATTAATTTTGGTGTTTGAAGCGCTAGCACAACACAGAAACAAAACATAACAAAAACTTACAAAAGAATAGGTCAAAGTCACCGTTCTCTGAGTGACTGAATTACAGTCAGTGACAGCTGTGAAGTGAATCCTCGAGAGTAAGCAGTGTAACAAGCTGCACTTTATATAGCCATTTGCTCACTGCAGTCACACACACACACACATACACATTTTCTCTAGTTGTCATACAGCACACATACATACTGACCTTCTGGCTGTGATAGGCTTTTTGCCAAAGAGATACAGTACTGTGCAAAAATCAGAGACTGCACTTAATTTATTTCATTTCAAATCAAAATGTACAAAGTTATACATTTTTCAGTTTAAACATATTTTAACAGAAAATTTCATAGATCTTCAAATACTAAATATAATTTTTGCCTTTATTATAGCTTTAATTCTTTTTCAGAGGCTTATTTTCAGTTTTTCAGAGAAATCTGCAGGGATAATAACAATTATAATATAATTGTACATATCTTTGAAGTCCAGTTTTAGAAGTTGGTTGTATTTTCTGCTTCTAACAGTTCAAGTAATCTCAAACACATTCACTGAGATCTGGGCTCTGGGGGGGTCCGGCCATTGTTCTGAGAACACCAGCAACGTCTTTGTTTACTACTGTTTTCTTTCTTCATGTCTACACATCCTTTCAGACCCATAGCGTTGAGTTGTCCTCTCAAACCGGTTTAATTTTTTTCAGATCTGAAGCAAGAGTGGAGCCTGATTTTTAATTGTTGTGTCTTTTAATGTTTTTTTTTAACTTTAGTTTTGTAAACTCTTGTTTTTCCACTTTTTTTTTTACTTATCCTTTCATTATGCAAGTAGATTAACTTGTACTGTACCTCCTCAGAAATATCCTCTGTACTTATTGTACTTAATGGTTTGTACTTTAGGGGCATTTTGACTGGTAATTAAATAGATTAAGGGTTGTCTCTGACATTTGCACAGTACTGTACATTTGTTTTAAAGTGCTGTACAGTTGCTGTGATGAGACAGACAGAACCACCATTGTTTAGGTTTACTGTTATGCAGAGAGCAAGGGTTAATTCTTCCATTGGCTTCCCTCAATCTTGAATGGAAAAAGACTTCAGCTGAATTAGATATGTCTAAAAAACCCAGTGAGTCTCTGGAGTAGTGCTGGTTTACTCCCTAGAGTGCACATTCAGGTTTTGTTTAACTGTATTCCTTCTCTAAACTCTGCGACTATACAGACACACTCATCGTAACCCCTTCTGTGTGATTGTATATATTATCCTTGTGTATAAATGCATATAGTATTTCTTCATACACTGTTATGGGTATGGGTAGCAGTGCCAGTATGCTGGAAAGCTGTAAACCTCTGGCTTCTCTCACTCTGTCTCTTTCTGTGTTTGTGTGTGCGGCTGAGGTTGCATTCTGTGGCTTTTTATGGTCATGTTCTATATTTAAGCTGCTGTGTTTCTGTGGCCTTGGTCAAGTGACAGGCCTGTCGGTGGATGCTGAGGAGTGTTTGTGTGGCCTGCAGACTAGAGAGCACAGCTGTTACTCTCTGTAATTCCCTCACAGACTTCCTAGCGGAGCTAATATGATCTCAACCAGATCTCCTGGTCAAGGAGTTCAGGCTTAGGTTGCCATCAAGGTCATGTTAATTTGAGTCATTGACTACAGAATTAATAGCTTTTTTGAATCTTCTTTGAACGCGTACTACTTTTATACTTACTCTCAAGAATATACATGATATGTGAGCAGACTAAATAGGGAAAGGGGGGTATTGGATGGAAAAAACGGTTATAGAGTAAGTCACATCAGCTGTGGTGCAAATTGAACTACTGGTGTGAAACACCAGTGGAATCCCCATTTTTCCCTCTTGGATATCTTTTTTTGTCCTGGTCATTCAAGGTCTTCAGAACGAAAACGTAACTCTTGCCCTGACTTCATTCATAGCCCAGAGATAGTCAGTCTATTTCTGTCCCTCTCCCCTGAGCTGAGACTGATACGAGAGGGGAAGTCCAGGCTGATGCAGGATCAGGTACGGAATGATGAGTCAGTTTAGGTCTACATTTGTGTTGACTCAATGCCTCTCTCCAAGAGGTCATCAAACAAACCGAACTTGAGCTAATACAGTAATGTAACGGCTCTTTAGATGGTGTCGGGGATTCCCCCCAAGGACAAATGGCTAGTACAGGTTGACGAGGACATGTATGTTAAAACGGCATTGAAATGGAGGAATTGATCCATCTATAATCTACTCACAGAGGCCTTTTTTATAGCACCTGTTGTAAGGTTGGACAAGCTTTACAGAGTATTGACAAGGCCCAGTCAACCTAATGAGCAACTATAGTGTTTAGTACTAATGTCAAATGATATTTATTTTGTATGTATGTATTAACACTGTTAGGTTTTCTCTGATCATGTAATCCAGCTAGTATGGGTGGCAAATTTGTTGTTTCCAGCCTCCTTAGTTTAGTTAGCTACAACAGCATAGTCCTGCTCTTTAGGATTTGTAAGAAATGGAAACTCAATGAAAAAAATTTCAGCAGTGGATACAAAAGAATGAATTTGTCGGCAGATTATGGGTAAGTCATTTATTGCACAAAAGTGGGATATTTTCTGTAGACATGCTGTGTCTGTACCCATTTGAAAATCAGTGCCTTTTGAAAAGGTTTGAAAACGTTCTGTTAAACTTTATTTTTAACCTTGTTTCCTCATATTTGGGGCTGTGTCTTAATCACAGCCATAATGTCCATGCAGAGCGTGAAAGGCCTGCCTTTATCTAAAGAAATGAAAATCATGTGCTTGTTGTTAGAAGAATCGCCCCTCCCTCTTCCCCTCCCCCCCAGCCCCTCCTTTACACATACTACACTCACACACACAAACACACACAAACAACAGCTGGGGAAATCAAAGTAACACAGGCATTTACCCTTGTGAACATCACCACCTTTTTTATTCATGCTGATTTAAACTGCAAAATGTTCAACCACATAACTGTATCTCCAAAAGTATCCAGACAAATTATTTCCATAGAAAAGCACTGCCGATAGAACAGGATGTTCTGAAGCAGCTGCACAGAAGCCTGAGGCAACCATGCTTAACACCAAGCGTTGGCTAGAGGGGTATAAAATCCCCCAGCATTGGGCTTTGTAGAAGTGGAACTGTGTGCTCTGGAGTGTTGGAAAACCATCCACCTTAGGCATGAGTTGGAATGGCATTTATGTTTCAGAAAAGATCATTTAACATCAGTACCTGACCTCACTAATGCTCCCGTGCCTGAATGCAATCAAATCCTCACAGCATTGTTCCAACATCTAGTGTAAAACCTAAGAAGTGTAGAGGCTGGTACTGCAGCAAAGGAGGCCTTTATAGTCTATATTAACACCATTAACATTAGAAGAGTTGTTGGATAGGCAGGTCTGCAAACTTTTGGACATACAGGGTGGACATATAGGGTCAGACAGGGATTAGGCTTACTACTGGACTACACTTTCCTTTAAATTCAGAATCTCCATTTAGAATGCCATGTAGTGCAGGACTAGGCTAAATCCCAGTTAGAAAAACCAGTTCATATATATATATATATATATATATATATATATGTATGAACATACACCTAAAATCCTCAGTCTCTTCCATTGTATGTGGTCAAGTAATTGTAATGCCTGTCTAATGATTTTTCTTATCTGAAAGAAGAAAACAGTTGTTGCTATATTTGTCCAGTTTGGCTTGGCCCATGTAATGGGAGTAAAAACGAGAGTGCTTTTTTAACCTGGATAAAATAAGAACAGCTAAACCTATTTATTTTCCCACTAAGTCATCTGGCAATACAGTGAATATGTGAATGTTGAATTAAAAACAGCAAACATGGCAACACATGAGCTCAAGCAGTAACAAGACGTAGTCATACTAGAAAAAAGAAACAGTGTGTTCCCTTTCTCACTGTTATGCTGGAGTAAACTCTAAACATTGGACCTGTGCAGGGCCTTACAAGGCCAGCGGGATCTCCCCGTCTAGGGCTGGAATGCTGGCTAGGAGGGAGATGGGACTCTCAGGACGTTTCACTGGAATAAAATTACTTCCTGTACTAGATGCTTTTTTCAATAAGTGGTTACTTTTCATCATTCTGTGTTTACTTCACGGTAGGGACATAAAGCTCCGTAATGTTGTTTAATCGTATTGAACTTTGAATTGCAGCTTGATGTGGTCATTTGTGTGCAGGATAGGACTTCTAATGAGGCGCGTTCCACCAGCTAATGCTATAGAGAAAATTCTTACATTCCGTGCTTGTGATACAATTGATTTTCCACCTTTGCCCTGGTTGTGTGTGGCCTCTCCTCAGACAGAGCTGACGGACCTCCTCAGGCCCATCTCGGATCAGATTGAGGAGATCCAGAGCTTCCGAGAGAAGAACCGCGGCAGCCAGCTGTTTAACCATCTGTCTGCCGTCAGTGAAGGCATTCCTGCACTGGGCTGGGTGGCAGTGGTGAGTTTTGCAAAGACCGTAGTCTGAGTACAACTTTTCATACACAGTTCTTTAAATTATACCTACATTTCTTAACAACTTCATGACTAGATGATACATTTTCCCCAAAAAAGATGTTTGGCTTCTGAATATTGGACTTGGAAAATGGCAGATCCAGCAAATCAAGATTTTTATTTATTTATTTTTGAATTTACATTTGAATATTAGGCCAGATATTTTAGATCAGTGGTGATACTTGTCAAATGCCCCTGATCCAAACTGAGGAAAAATGAAAATAGGGATTATCACTGTTCCAGACTTTTTTTCTAGACTGATGATTGGCTGATTGATGTAAGTTGGTCAAACTGGCAATACCGCCCAAATTTAGCTCAACATCTTCCGGCTGCAAACGGAATGCTAAGACAGCATAAACAAATTAATACTTTAACCTATTTATGCTTTAAAAGCAGTTAACATATGTCACTGAGTTTTATCACAGTATACAACAAGCCAACTTTGAATCAACATTTAGTTTAACAGTTTGCTCTCTGAAAATGTTTTATGTTTGCTTTAATGTCTGGATTAAACTGGCTCCAGAAATGCCACAGCTCAGCTGTTCAGCTGTTAACTTCATGGACTTTGGAGAAGATTCTTCATTGACTTATTTGGTGGAATGATGATGATAATAATAGCCCTTTCATTGGCTTCAGTTTAAGAATTGGTCATGGTCTGACTTAATCTTCAGATTGTCTGACATTGATAAATTAACGCAAATTAAACAAATGAGGTAATCATATTAACTTTTCTTCCCTTATAAGGCACATCTTTCTAGAGCGGGTCTTCTCCATACAACCACTTAAAAAAAGTTCTTGCTATTAGTTTAAAGCATATTTAATCAAAGTTTAGATTTGGCATATATTTAATTGAACAATGACAATGTTTGTGGGCTCCTTTTCTGAATATATTATTTCCCCTAATCCTCTTGAAAGATTTACTCTGCTATGGTGATCTGGACTCTGTCAACTCCATCTACAGCTACACTTCTTTCCCATACTCTCTTCTTTCCCTTAGGATGTGTATGTTACCTATTCAAAACCTCTTACGCACTCATAAAATTTGTTTACATTTGTCTGCAGCAATGTCTGCAGTGTACAGGTTTTTTACAGTTTGCTTAAACGTTCAGCTTGTTCTGAACTGTGACAGACTTTACAGATCTTTTCAGTGCTCAGTATCTCTGCATGCACGAGTTTTTTTCAACAGCAAAAGTACACAATAAGGATGTCATTATTACCTTACTCCCACTCTGTCTGCTTCTATTGCTCTTTCTTAGAGTCAGAAGCCAGGGCCCTATGTTAAGGAGATGAATGATGCTGCTATGTTCTACACCAACAGAGTTCTGAAGGACTACAAAGACTCGTGAGTGATGCCTCTAAAAAAGCAAGTGGATTATAACAGGCACTAGCTTAGAAAATGTGGTCAATTCAAGAAATACTGACATGCTCCTATGGTGATCTGTTCTAATAAAAATTTACTGTATCCATGCAATGCTTTAACTTATTTGGAATAAAAAAAGATAAGAATCATAAGTTTGATGATCATTTTGCTAATTTATTATCACTTTTTTTTACACTATTTAAAGACACTAGATGCTTTTGAACATTTTACAATGAATTGACTAACAAAAATGGTCGAAAATAAAGTATGAATTATAAAATCTTGTTACATTAACATACATTAATACGTTAATGTTTTTTCATTCTCCTGTAAAGTTTTTGTGAAGGTTTTGCTGCTTCAGCAACAATAACTTAATTGTCTCTCCCTGGTTGTAGCGACCCTTGCCATGCTGAGTGGGTGCGTTCATACCTGAGTATCTGGACTGAACTGCAGGCCTATATCAAACAGCACCACACCACTGGACTGGTGTGGAGCAAGACTGTGAGTTGTACTTCCAATCCACGCTGTCCTCTAATAGACACTAAGCGTTTTGCATAAACAGTAATTGAAGAAGGAACACTGGCCTATTCTAAGCCTTTTTCTCACCTTTTCCATTGGAGGGAGTTGGCACAGCATCTGCTTCAGATGTTAATTCTTTAATCAGCACAGAGTGTAGTGTGAAGGATGGGTGTGATACATTTTTTTTTTACTTTGTTGGATTGGTTGTTTCAGGGGAAGACTGCTTGAAACCTTGAAATACAGCTAAGGAAATATTTCCATTTTTAGTCATTCATGGGCTGCTTCAGTGTGCAGAGATATTATCTGAACTGTGCTAGCCATCCAGTTAGAAGGATCTCTCCTGAAAGCTGTCACAGCTGGTAATGCGTGTCTGGGAATTCATTAGTCTTCCTCCTTTTCTTTTCCAACTCTTTGTGTTTTCTTTACTTTACCATCTTTAGATAAAAGACCTGTAAGTTGTGTCTGTTTTATTAGTGCTGAGCCACTCCATTAATTCATGGTATGCCCTACAAGGACTGATATAAAGCGGATTTAGGCAGATCAGGCCTCTTTTATGATGATCAAGCCTTTACTTGTTTAAGTTTTGGGAAGGAGATGCTGTCTTTGAGTTTCTCCACTAGTCTCCTCTGGTGAGATGTGAAGGAAGCGTGCATGTGTGTGTTGGGGGGGGGGGTGAATAAGAGTGTGTGCGTGTGGCAGACAGAAACTTGAGAGCTCTCAGTGGCTGTGTGTGTGTCAGCTGTCCCTCTTGCTGTGAGCGTTGGAGTGTGAGGGAGTTTGTGCTGTGGACAGGTGGCTCTCAGGGTCTCTTTGAAAGGAAGGGTTTTACCAAAAAATGCCCCATAACAAAAGCCTAGTGTATGTTCAGATAACCCACCTGCTCACACACACACGTGATGTGTAATTTAAACTCTCAGCTCTTGTATTGACCGGTTTTCCTCCATAATGATATCAATTGCTCACTGATGTATTTATGAGTGAGCAATATAATATATATTTTCACCCTATTTTCCTTTAACATTTAGTCTTTCTTCTTTTATACAGTGTTGTGGACATATTATGGATTTAAAGACCATTAAGTACTGACCTTTTGGGGTCATAGGTTAAGGTCCACAATTGCTGAACCCATGCTGAACCGAGACATCAGCACAAGCATTTGGAGTGACAGGAGGGTGTGAGCTTGTTTATGTTGGAGAAGAAAAGACGTGTGTGTGTAGCAGTTGTTGTAGTGTTGTAAGTGTTGAAGAGGGGATTGTGCGCAACTGTCAATGGCAGCTGTGCTGACAAGGGAAAAAAGCATGAATGTGTCTCGTTTAACATGGTAACCAACTGCCCCACATTTATCTATTTCTGCGGCTTGGTGTTTAAACTCCTGTCAGTACACTGAAAACTAAAACACAGATGGTAGCCAAATCAGTTTATATTCAACAGAATACACCAATCATGAAATGAACTCCTGCATGAATAAAGCTCAATCAGTGGTTAGAATCTGCTGGTCTGAACAGAAGAGAAAGTTGTCATTGTCTCTGCAACTTGTGTTCGGTTCCTTTAAGAAGGAAATTTGGAATATGAACAGCTTAAAATATGTCTCTTGAGTTATCTTCTAAAATACATCTTGAGTTAAAGAAATGACTGGCTCCTTTTTATCATTCAGTTATAGATAAGTACGAAAATGTTTAGTAAGAAAGCAAATAGTTAAAGAAAACCATTATTGTGGCCCACCCAACACCCAGAGTGAAAAGTTATTTTCTGCCAAGTATGCAACTATAGATAGGAGGGACTGCATTCATTTTTAAGTACTAAGGCTACCATAGCTGAGGTCGTACATTTAGGTTAGTAGTACGAGCCAAAGTGTTGCCTAATACTCCTCCTGCTGGAGTGTCACCATACTGCAGTTTTGTGTTTCTGTGCCCATATTCTGCATTTCTCGTGTTTTCTATGTTTTCTTCTGAGGTCCATTGATATTTGTGTGGGGTTATGTGACAAAAAACAGTCATATGTCGTTTTTAAGTGACCATTTTCAACCTTTCTTTATCCCTTAGAATTAAACAGGCTGCTTTTGTTACTTTAATGTGCCTTTATGAGTGATATACTGTGCTGTTTGAAGGTTTGTGAATGCTCCAGGATTATGCGAATTTCTACCTAAATGTGACCTAAAATGTTATCAGATCTTCATTTAAGTCAAAACAATAGATAAAGTGAATCGTATAAAACAAATAAACCAATTATATAGTTTGTCATTCATTTATTGAACAAAATGATCCAACATTAAATTCTTTGTTGGCAAAAGTATGTGAAACTGCTGTTACCCCCTTGAGCAACAATGACTTCAACCAAACAGTTTCTGTTTGTGTGTTGATCAGCCCTGCACATTGACTTGGAGGAATCTTGGCCCATTTCTCCTTACAGAACTGCTTTAACCGAATGTTTGCGGGCTTCTTTTAGATCCTTCTACAACATTTCTATTGGATTACAGTCTGGACTTTGACTCAGCCAATTCAAAATGTAACATTTCTTTTGCTTCAATCATTCTTTGTAGACGAACTGATGTTTTCAGGGTTGTTGTCTTTCTGCAGGACCCACCTCCTGTTAAGGTTCGTTTCCTGGATGGATGCCCTAACATTCTCCTGTAGAATTTCTTGATACAATCCAAAATTCCTAGCTCCATCAAATGATGGCAAGCTGTCCTGGTCCAATAGCAGCGAAACAGCCTCAGACCATGATACTGCCACCACTATGTTTCACAGTTGGGATGGCGCTGACAGTGGATTGGTGAAGTCCAAACTCGACAGAAATAGGCTTGGAACCTCTTCCAGCCCAATGAGCGCTGAGAAATGATTTCTGAGGTCCTCAGAAATCTCAAGTCAGAGTCAAGTCAAAGTTTATATAGTGTTTTTTACAAAAGGTGTTGTCACAAAGCAACTTTACAGAAAAATCCAGGTCCAAGCCCCCATGAGCAAGCCAGTGGCAAGGAAAAACTCCCTAAGAGCAAGAGGAAGAAACCTTCAGAGGAACCAAGACTCAAAAGGGGAACCCATCCTCACCCAACCCCCTTGACACCGGATAGCAAACAGCGTTAGTATAAAGTATTGTAGTACAAAACGGAGAAAACAGGTGGCGCAATGGTTAATGAGATTAGCTTTAGTTTATTACGTGTAATAAAATGAGTAAGTTTTTAGCCTAGACTTAAAGACTGAGGATGTGTCTGATTCCCAATCACTGACTGGAAGATTATTCTAAAGCTGGGGGGCTTTGTATGAGAAGGCTCTCCCCCCTGATTTAACTTTATTAATTCTAGGTACTAATAGTAAGCCAGCACATTGTGATATATGTAGGCGTGATGGTTCATAGTATGAGAGAAGTTCATTCAAGTACTGAGGGGTGAGTCCGTTTAGAGCTTTATAGGTCAGTAAGAGAATTTTGTAATAGATGCGAAATTTAACTGGCAACCAATGTAGGGTTGATAAAACTGGGCTGATATGGTCAAACTTTCTGGTTCTTGTGAAGACTCTGGCTGCAGCGTTCTGGACTTGTTAAGGCATTTGCTGGAACATCCAGACAGTAGGGCATTACAGTAATCTAGCCTTGAAGTAATAAATGCTTCCTGTAGAGACAATGTGTTTCTTAATTTAGCAATATTGCGGAGATGCAGGAAGGCTATTCTAGTAATATTCGTTATATGTTTGTCGAAGGACAGATCGGGATCTATCATGACACCAAGATTTTTTACAGATGAGCCTGACGCAACTGAGAAATTGTTAAGTTTAAGTGTAAAATTAGACAGTTTGTTTCTAGCAGCTTTTGGACCAAGAAGCAGAACCTCTGTTTTATCCAAGTTAAGTAGGAGAAAGTTACTCGACATCCAGTCTTTTATGTCTTTTATACAGTCCTCAATCTTGCTAAGTTTCATTTTATCATCTGGTTCGCTCGATATATATAACTGAGTGTCATCGGCATAGCAGTGGAAATTGATGCCATGTTTACTAATAATGGTGCCAAGTGGTAGTTTGTGAATAATATAGGTCCTAAATTAGAGCCTTGTGAAACACCATACTTTACTTTTGCAAGGACAGATGATTCACTGTTTACATTTACGAACTGAAACAGATCAGTGAGGTAAGATCTGAGATCTCCTTTGACTGAGACATGGCATGCATTAACAACTGTGGTGAAGACCAGACTTTGATGGTGAAGGCTAATGTTTTTTTTTTTGTTTTTGTTTTTTCCCCCCCAAAAGGGTAGGGTCAGCTTGACTGCCATCCAACTGATGGAACCTCCTGACCCTTTTTTATCACTTATACTAATCTGATCATTCTAGTGGTTCACATACTTTTGCCAACTAAAATGTATTTTTTAGTTGTTCACAATGTTCACAAACTTTTCAAGCAGCACTGTATATAAATTACCTATGCTCTGTGTTGTGACTCAAACAATCATTATGTCAATATAACATGTGGGGTAAACTGCTAAAGACTGAAGTAAATGCAGTTTATCACAAAAACAGCTCATTCAAAACAGGCTGCTTTTGCAGCTTAGTTTGCTAATGTGGAATAAATGCAGTGTGGAGTGAATGATTCAATGATTGAAACTTTAATAGTGTATCACTATTAGAATAATTTGTCTGAAAAGAATAAAGAATAATAAAAAGCGAATGTAAAAGGATCTAAAGAGATATGTGAATATACATATGCAGGCCTAGTTATTATACACAGAATATTACAGACTGATATGAACATTTGTAAAATAACATTTGTACAGCTGTGCAAATAAGCGTTATGGTACTAGGGAGTTACGTTAATACAGTAAGGTAGTTTTTTGGTTTCAGTTTAAAGTGCAAGCTGTCTACTGTGGTAAATGAGCAGAAAAGCTGTTAGCATGTCTGGTTGTACTGGTTTTAATAGCCCTAAATCTTCTATCTGAGGAAAGTGCCTGATTATATACTACATCACACTATTTTATTTCAAAGAAATGAGATCATTCTGTTTTCCAAGATTCTGCTGCCCCATGATCCAATGATTTTAAATTCCTCATTAAATAGTAGATCTCTGTTATAGTTCTGAGTTACTGATTCTAGTGTTTTCCATAGGGTCCTGTAGCTCCCTCATCCCTGTTCATGGCTGCACCTGCTGGTCCCTGTCCTCCTCCTCCTCCACCGCCACCACCACCTGTATTCACAGACGAAAGCCCTAAACCTGACACAAGTGCAGCTCAGCGCTCTGCTCTGTTCGCCCAGCTCAACCAAGGAGAGGCCATAACTAAAGGTGGGCAGGAAAACACAGTATTACACATGTTTTTGTCACCACACAAACATATCAGAAGACTTCTATACCAGACATTGTCAGTGTAGTTATACCACATGCAATAGGCACTTCTATCCTTTGATTTGTAAGTCACTAAACTTTTTTTTTTTTTAATTTAATACAACTTATTATGTAGTCAATGATTAACAGTGGCATTTGTGAACTAATATCAGCTTCTACATGCAATGGTTTATACATTTTAGCTACATTTACGTAAATGTTTAAGCATCTAAATCTGCTTAAACCAAAAAACATTTACTTTCCGTGTCACTGCTCTTACTGTGCCTTACTCGAAACTTTCCATACACTTTAAACCTCTGAAGTTATAGGAGGGTTATGTAGAGGGATGGTAGGCTTAAATGCTTATGGAAATACTTAAGGACAATTTCTTTCAACGTATTTTGTTGTCACTTAGGATTAAAGCGTGTGTCTGATGAGCAGAAGACCCATAAGAACCCTGTTCTACGCTCTCAGGGTGGAGAACATCAAACCTCTCCATCAAAAGGCAGAGCACCCTGCTCCTCCGCTCACACACCAGCCAAGAAACATGCTCCCGTACTGGAGCTGGAGGGGAAGAAGTGGAGGGTGGTAGGTCCATTTAACCTCCGTTTATCTCTCTTTCAGTTACACACTCTCTGACTTTTGGTATTAGTTAATGTTACAATGATGTCTGAGATGGTCTGGATGAGGTTATGAAAGCTGGACAAATCATTCATATAAAAATTACTGTATGCAAAGACCTAAATTAGTGATTGTAAATGAACACTGAACAAGTTAGTTTAGAATGTACCTTCATAAAGTTTTACATAATGTACAAATCCAATGATTAAGTTCAAACAGTTAAGATCAGACCCCAACAGTAATGTGTGTGTTTGGCTCTCAGGAGCACCAGGAGCAGACTCATGACCTGGTGATAGAGGAAACTGAGCTCAGACAGGTGGTGTATGTCTTTAGTTGCAACAACTCCACACTTCACATCAAAGGCAAAGTGAACTCGATCATAGTGGGTGAGTGAAACCATTTCTCATAAGTTCCTCCCATTCAGTGTGCTCCTGGAACTGCGGATTACGTCTAACACTGTTGTTGAGGTTTAATACATTTCTCTATGTTTAGATAACTGCAGGAAGCTTGGACTTGTGTTTGATAATGTGGTCGGCATTCTTGAGGTCATCAACTCCAGGGACATTCAGCTCCAGGTCAGGATATGCCACCAGCGTTCAATAAGATGTGGCACATACAGCCATGTGGTACCACTAGTGAGACAATCATTAATACAGAATAATGTTTTTCCTTCACTTAGGTGCTGGGAAAAGTGCCCACCATTTCAATCAATAAGACAGAGGGATGTCACGTTTACCTGAGTAAGGAGGCTCTCAACTGTGAGATTATCAGTGCCAAGAGTTCTGAAATGAACATCCTGGTTCCTCAGGGAGATGACGACTATGTGAGTGAACTCAATGACTTTCAGCACATTTGGAATAATTCAATTGAGTACCATATGTATTAAATACAGATATTTTTCTAGAACCAAATCAGGATCCACTGGAGCAGGATATGCTAAAATAAGATATAATCAGTTAATGTACTCTTTCAAGTTATGAAACAAACAAAATGTATTAATTATTCTTATTTTGTTTACAGTACCAATTTGGTAATGCCATATTTTATGCTTTATATCAACAGAGAGAATTTCCAGTCCCAGAACAGTTTAAGACAGTTTGGGATGGGTCCAAGCTGGTGACAGAGCCAACGGAGATTGCTGGCTGATTGACAGATTCATTGTGCTTTCCATGTCATCTGTACTGGTAGCCCCCCAATCAAGTAGTACTCCACTATCAGCGCTGGTCTTGGAGAAATAATTAGTCCCAGTCCTAAATTATACACTCCATTAGGGTTCTCCATTGAAAATCCCTTATCTACTGTAAGACTAGGGTTAATCTGTGTTATACTACCAAGACGCAAAAAGGGGGTCAGAATAGTCACATAAAACACTATAATTTAGAGGATTGGAAGCAGATTTTAAGTGAAAGCCTTTTTTTCTACAGCTGTCAAATTACATTTTGGGTTCTAGATTAAATTCTGATATCTCGTTATTTCAGTGAATCAGCCCAACAGCCAAAATCCATCAAATTTAAAAATATTAAAGAAATTGATTTTGCTCCACAGCACTTTTCAGAGTTATTTTGAATGTCATCTTTCAGACCTATGCATTTTGTGTATGGCAGTTACCTGCCTTTGTGTTTACAAAAGCATTTTCTTTTCAGTCCTGTTTTCTGTTGAAATAATGTTTTGTTTTAAGATGTTTTGAAGATTTCAGTGGCAACTTTGTGCTTTTAGAACTAGTTAATTAGACATAGGCTGAGCTCAGTCCTATGTGGATAATCCAGCACTACTTTGTCTGGGTGTGTGAATTTGGCTCTTCATTATCAAGTAAATACGTGCCTCAAGTTTTTTTTTTTTAATTACCTTTTTTCTAATTTCACACATTTCATGTAATGTAAAATGTGTCTTTTTATTGTTTTGATATTCCTTCACCCAGTATGGTGATTGTAGTTGCACAGGCATACAATTCACAATACAAACACAGTGTCAACCAGTGCCATCTAGGTCGTACACTGATTTCTTATTTTGCATGAACACAAATTTTACAAAGATAACAACCATATCGTAACCAATACAGTGGTAATTATAGTGTAGTTAAAAACTTAGTAAAATTCAGTCGCTCAGCAAGTTCGCTACAGTTGTTCTTGATGATGTCCACTACATTGTAACCAATCAGGCTTGCTTTAAAAGTACAGTATTTAAAGTTTAGTTAGGATGTACAAATAGTTTACTAAAGTGTCATATCTGTTGTGAACAATAAGGGAAGTCACAAACTTGACATTGATCATAAGAGATTCTGATGTTTATACAGCACATTTTTATGTGATGTGTATGTAAAATGTAAGGTCAGTTTAGAAAATCCTAATCAGTACAGAATTTAAAGTCAACATTTGAGAACTTTTTTTGTTTTTGTTTTGTTTTTTGTTGTTGCATAGGCAAGGCCAGCTTGGATTGTCTTGTTCCACACATTTCTGTATGGTCATTATTTGTCCAGGGACTTGTTAATACCCATTTTGTTCACACTGTAAGCCTGTTTATATGTATATGCTTTGCATTGGTAGAGCAACATCAGAAAAGTACATAGACGCACATAAAATATGGAAGTTATGTTCAAAAATCAATGTGGGATTTTAGATGTTCACCTTTATAGCCTTCTTTGAGATGTGGATTACTAAACTTGTGGAATCTTGGCTTTTAAAAGAAAAATGTACATATCTTCATCTGACACTAGCTCAACACTGTAGCACAGAAATACCAATTAAGCTAAAATATATTTAATTACGACAGTGTTTTAATCACAACTCTTAAAAGTTCACTCAGCAGAAGAATTAAGTATATTTTCACATTAGTTCTACAAATAAAGCTTTAATAAACCTCAAAAATTGTCATCGCACTTCTTATGAGGTCATGCCTTTTACCCATTTCTATCAAATCACTACAATGCTTTTCATAGGTTCTTGTTAGTAGTGTTGTTCCAGTAGCTCGCAAAACCCATCACATAACTTAGAGCCACAGCAAAAGGTATGGATCGATGGTGATGATTGTATATATGTTCGCTGTTTGCATTAAAACACTGTAAAAACTAATTTCTCATTATTATATTTATTATTATATTTCTCATTAATATAATAAAGAAAATTATTGGGAGTCACAATAGTGTTGCCCATTTGACACTGAATTGGCCTGTTACTACATGCAGGAAGTCAATTTAAGGTGTGATGAGTGTTGTAATCTTGCTTAAAAACAATTGAAATAAATTTTCAGGGACACTCCAATTAAAATGTCTGAGAATAACATTTAGAAAAAGGTTTTACTTCTGACTTATAGTTGCACAAATTTTACCAGTCTGTTGAAACAACAAATCTAATATTGAGGATTCACTTTAAGAACCTCTGCCTTTAATTCATCACAGTACTAAGGTCTGAAATAGCAGGATGAAAAGGATTTTAAATATTTTATGCAGCAAAAACAGCATATCAACCTCCACCTCGTTAACAAAAACTTGAATCATTAAATATCTTACAATTTGACTTTTTTATTGTTGTGTACAGCCAGATTATATAAACAAAGAAGCGCTTTGCCTAGATTAAAACTGGATCAGGAAAATTCTCCTGACAGAGGCAATGTTTTTAGAAAGACTGCCATCTAGTGGTAAAAAGCAGTTGGTTCTTTTGAGTTTGGTTGTTGTGTTTCAAGTCTCAGACCACAGAGAAAACAGTCTTATTATCAGTAAGCATCCTTAGCAGCACCTGCACATACAAACTTCTACACAAACAAAAGAGCAAACAAATAAGAAAATTCACCAGCACAAAATTAAAAATAATTACAAATAACTTTTTTGGATACAAAAAGAGCTGCTTCCTGAACGGACTCCAGTACAGAATCATTTAATATGTATTCAATTAGTGAGATTTCAGATTTCAAAATGGGTAAAGGTGAAAGGTGTGAATTTCATTAAAATCCTGAGAACATTCTGAATCTCGTTATAGGTAATATTTTTGCCCTTCCCATGACTCGGTTTGCTAAAACCTTAAATTACCGTCTAGCCCTCTGATGATACTCATATGCACAAATGTTTGTTAACTGCTGTTCAAACAAAAGTGAGTACAGTTAAAACATCTTTCCACAGCATTATCACATACATCTGCTTATACCATTCCAGTACAATAACACTAGTGTTTGATGACCATGTTTCCCTGCGAGTCCTGTGTGAAAAGCACCTCTGGCTCTACCTGTGAGTCCTCCTCCATTTCCAGAGACATTACAGGTGGTAGGTTCCAGTTTTCTCTGTCTTCAGTTGAGTTGGTTCGGTCCTTCAGTGCACATCTAATCTTTTGGTTGCGATTGGCAATCACCCGAAAACCTTCTGAGTCTTGAGTGAATAACATGGCAAAAGAGTCTTGCTCATTCTCTAAAGACTCCTTGGCTGACTTCTTAGGTGACTGATAAAGCTTCACCTTTTGAAAGACACTTGGCTTTTCAAAATTTGAATAGCGCTTGGCTGGGCTGGGAGACAGCAGCCGGTTAACAGGTGAAACGTCAGTGTAACGTGTGGGTGATGTGGGTCCAAAATTTTCTTTATCCTTTCTCTTCACATGTGACCTCTGAGTATAATGATGCTTCTGCTCAGAAATCTCCAGCTCTTTATGAGGATTTGGGGTATGCTTTGCTGTGTGTTGTTTCTCTGTGCTTGATCTTGTAGTCAAAACAGGCCTCTGATTACTAGTGTTCTTGTGCATTACAGCACAGGCCCTTAGGTTTTCCTGACACTGTAAATCCTCTGTAGAAAGAAAAGCTGAAGAACCACTACTGTTCGTTCTAAAACTGCTCCTATGTAACTGATTACAATGAGAATCCTGCTGTACCTGAACACTGTAAAGCAAAGTTTCAGGGATATCCTGACTCTCATACATTGTCCTACATCTGTGAAACGTGGCTTGACTGCTTTCCTTTTGTGTTTCTGTTCCATTTACAAAAGTCACATCTTCAGGAGGTCTTCTCTTTTCTGCTGGCTCATGTTCCTCGGACTGATATCCCCACATCAAACGGAAAAAATGCTGCTCTTTTTTCTGGTCTTTACAGATTTCAACTGACTCTCTCTCTAAATCTGCATCAATCTCCGGTGGGTGTACCTGAGAGGTGTGACTGGTCACATTATTTGTTTCCTGCAATTCTGTTGTCGTTGCACGCTTTCGTTTGGTCCCCATATGTGGCTCAAGAAGCGGGGTAGAGGAAATCTCTGAGGGAAGAGAAGAACTATGTTCTTCTGTGTCTGGGGGAAAGAAATGATTCTGTTCAGTCAAAAGCATTCAAACCAACTATAGTACCTAAGTACATATCACTAGAGACGCAACAGAAAAAGCTACATTCTTCAGTGTTTTCTTACCTTTACTCATTTTACTCTGCGGTAGAAAGAATGCCGATATGGTGCTCTGCTTGGTGGCAGGCATGTTCATCTTGGTCTGGGTGAAGCTCAATGCTACTGCCATGCTGTAACCACCCGACCGAGCCAGTGGATTCAGTACTTTGGATATTGGCCGTGTCAGTCGTTTCTGTGATTCGTAAAGTCATTTTAAAACATCAGACTTACAGGACATTTTAGGCATTAAAGAACATACACATAGGTATCTCATAACATCCTCATAACTACAGTGTGAAGTACAATAAGTACTTCACAACAAAAGTAAATCATGACCCATATTTAAAGATGAAAGGTGATCTAAGATCAGGTCTCATCAGTTAATGTAATTCTTCAGTGGTACATAAAAGATGTAAGCTGACCCCAGATCAGCTCTGAAATGAATATGGGCCAATAACTATAAAGCCTTCAATCAACTCGATACCAGGAAATACACAGCAAGGGTTCAGTCTATAGTAGCTGTAAGGGACACATATTACACCATGAAGTATCTTACCATCAAATTCTGCATATTATTAAGACAAACGGTTACAATAGCTTCTTCCTTTGTAAGTTAACGTAAACCTGAACAGTATGAGACTCACCTGCTGCTTCTTTGCTCTTAATTCAGCGGCGTCGAGCCAAACTCCGCATTCCTCTGAAGCTCCTGCCTGGATGAGTTTAGCCGTCTTTTTCTTAGTGGTTTTCATGTTCACACTTTAGCTAACGCTGCACTGCGTCCGAAAAGAGGTTAAACAGATTAAAATAAACCTTTTCTTATCTATTCAGCTAACGACACCAAATACCCGAACCAACGCTAAATAGCTGGCTAACTATGTGAACAGTCGACGCTACAGAAGTTAATCTAGTTATTTAGTTAGCTGATGCGAGCTGGCAGGGTCAACTGACGGTCATACATTAGCTAAAACGGACAGTCAGAGAAATAGTGTTATTACACATTCGCACACTGCTCTACCGTCTAACTGCGTAGATTAAGTTTAAGCTAGTTTTGCTGTTCAGTTGTTGATGTACTCCTTATGAATGGTGTTAACTTTCCCGCGCACAGGATTTGTTTGGGGGTTGTTGGGTTGCCAAATATTTCCAATGCGGTGTACATTCCACACAAATACAGGTTAATGCCAAACTGAATCTGTAGAGCAAAACAAAATATTAAATAATTTATTCAATATCCAATTATTATTATTATTATTATTATTATTATTATTAATAATAATAATAATAATGCATTATGCCAGACATTTACAATTATTTTACTTTTACTTCTTTAGCAAAGACAATTTATGGCAATGAGTAGATGTGCATCTGATGTAATGTCGTTCGTTATGTCTAGAACTGACTGTGATAGATGATTTTATTGAAACCTTTTAATGGGGGAGAAGTTGGTGTGGAAAACAGCTGTCCTGGATGCCCCTCTGAATAAAGGTGTGCAAATGTGTAAATGTAAATGTGCTGTTATGTGTAAATGAATAAGTGTGTAAATAAACTGCGAGCATACCGTGCAAAAAGAATGACGACGGGGACTTTCTCTGTGCATGGCAACCAGACAACACGCCCCTCCCTTGAAATGACTGGATGTGACGTAGCGCGTCGGCGACGAGCACTGACGTAAACACAGGTCGGGGTGAGGAGCTGCGTTCTGTGGTGCTTTGTTTATTTTCCCATCAGTTTATCCTCAGCGGTAGTGGTCTGACCCTGGGATTATACAGCTGTGTGGTTATTAAAGCGTCGAAATATTTGTAAGTAACAGAATTTAAGTTGTTTGTAAGTCGTGAATGAGTTTGAGTCTCAAGAATCGGTGAGAGGCTAATTGCTGTGCTAGTTTGCTGTTGTCGTTGCCCACATTTTTTACAGCGACCGGTTTCATTAAGTTTCCATCAGAAATGCCCCCAACGCCCACCGACACGCTGCGAAATACACACAGTTAGTTTTTATTTACTTTGTTTTTTCTTAGCCGGCTCAACACGGTTGTTTCGGCCCAAACAACAATGCATTTCCGTAATCCTGAGTCGTGTTGTGCTGCGTGTTTCCTGAAAGTCCGGTAGAAAGATAACGCTACTGATAACAGCAACAACGATATGTGAAAACTCCGTCCACTCTTTGGCGATCATTAATTCAGCTGTCGACCTGTTTTTTTCATAATAGGTGCTGTGTTGTCACTGTAACTCTAGTGACTGTATGACTTGACGAAGATGACGTCAGCTCCCTATTCGCCAGCTTCTTGTTCGGATTTTCCCGTTCCACCTATAATGGTGCAGTAGTTACATTCTGGAGCCTCAGCTGACTCTCAGGCGCCAGAATGTATCTGCTGCACTGTTTAAGGTGGAATGGAGAAATTCGTATAGAGTGCTGACTTCAGCTTCATATGGCAATAAAGTGTTTTTCTCCCACCTGTTCTTAATCTTTGCACATGACTTTTTGTGTGTAGGTGTAGATAATAAAGTTGGGATTGGCACCATGTTCCACGGAATACCTGCTTCAGGAGGGATGGGAGGTGGTAAGTGGAAAAGCAACTTCTTCGTTCCACAAGGATGTCAAAATGCTTTTCTTCCAGCTTGTTGCACTGATCACATTTTCTCTCTTGCTTTATCCATTTCCCCTTACTGCAATAATGTCAAGCTCCAGCCAATAAGCCGGAATTATACGAGGTAAGAGCTGGTCTGTAAAATTCACTAGTAATGAAATTTAATTTACTGCATGGTTTAAGTTAACTTGTTTTTGTATGTGCTGTTTTGTAGGAGGTGAAGCTTTATAAAAATGCAAGAGAAAGAGAAAAGTAAGTAGCATTCTTTGTCTTGTTATTTTAAGAATCTTATAGATTATAAAATGAACATTCTGTTTTGATTCTATGTGTTAAACACTGCTGCAGCTTCAGACATTTGATTTCTTCATTGTAATTTGTCTTACATTGGCTGTGTTAAAGGTATGACAACATGGCAGAATTGTTTGCTGTGGTAAAGACGCTCCAAGCCTTAGAGAAAGCTTACATCAAGGACTGTGTAACACCCAATGAGTAAGTATTTCTGTAAGTTGATGTTAAGTCACTTCACGATGGGCAAGTCCTTCGAAACAGGTCTCTCTTTCTTTCAGATACACAGGTGCCTGCTCAAGATTGCTTGTCCAGTATAAGGCTGCTTTCAAACAGGTCCAGGCATCAGACGTTGGCTCCATTGATGACTTTTGTAGGAAATACCGGGTAGGTATTTGCACTTCACAGTTGCTGTTTTTAAATCAGATGTGCACTACAGTGTAGATGGTTTTTGTACTTTAAACATGGTATTGAAAGTATTACATTTCTCTCTTGATATGACATAGTCGTCAATAGTAATGCTACAGTAAATCATTCTAAAATGTTATAGTTAAGGTAATGATTGTTGGGCTTGTTTACACCTTGCATTACATGCTTATATCCATATCATATCTGAACATGTGTCTAAGACACAAGTCTTAAGTCTAAAAAGCTGAAACAAATGCTAATAAAACAAAGAAAGCAATGATCATTAAATTGAAAATCGTACAAAAACATGATATTTAATGTCTGCATTATGCTCCAAATTTTGGGACAGAGGCATGTTTACCACTGTTTACAATGTTTCCTTTTAACAGCACTTAAAAAGCATTCAGAGGACACCAATTGATCTAGTTTTGAAAGCTGAATTTTTTGTCTTTCTTCCATTATACAAGTCTTAAGCTGTGCAACTGTATGGAGCCTTTTATAATGCATGCATGTTTTCAGTAGGAGACAGGTCTGGACTGCAGGCAGGCCAGTTTAGCACCTGCAGTCTCCGATTAGGCAGCCATACTGTTGCAACACATGCAAAATATGGCTTGGTGTTGTCATGAAATAAACATGGACATCCCTGAAAAAAGACATCTTATAGATGGCAGCAGATGTTGCCCTAAAATATGTGTATATCCATCAGCATTAATGGTGCCTTGACAGATGTGCAAGTTACCCATGCCATGGGCACTAATACACCTCCATACCATGACAGACCCTCACTGTTGAACTCTAAGCTGATATCAGTTTGGATGATCCTTTCTTTCTTCAGCCTGGAGAACGACATCCATTATATGAAAGTTTGACTCATCAGACCACAATAGATGTTTTCACTGTGCATCAGTCTGTTTTATATGAAAACGGTGTTTCAGAACGTTGTTGACATGATTTCTGCTGTAGAGTACAGTCTTACCTTGCATCTGTGAATGCAGTGACAAACGGTGTTTATTGACAATACTTAGTTAAAGTGTTCCCAAGCTCATGGAGTGATGCCAGTTACAGAAGCATGCCAGTATTTAATGCAGTGCTGTCTGAGGGATTGAAAGTCACAGGCATTCGGTTTTTAGCCTTGCGCTTTATGCACTTCACTGAGTCTTTTGGGAATATTATGTACTGTAGAGAATGAAATACCTAAAATCCTTGTGATTGTTTGAGCATTGTTCTTAAACTGTTGGATTATTTGCTAATGCGTATTTTGGTAAGTGGTGAGCCTCGACCAGTCTTTGCTCATAAGTAGGCCTTGTCCTGGCTTAGTAGCCCAGGATGCTCCTTTTAATACACAAGAATGATTCCATCATCTATTTAAAATATGGCCAAATATGATTTGAACACAGTCCACAGTCTATTTACTGTAAATGCATGTCAATGCAAGGTAAACAGCCTCAATGTTTGTGTAAACTAACCAACGAGATTATTATCCCTCCCCATTGTTGCAGCTTGACTGTCCACTGGCAATGGAGAGAATCAAAGAAGACCGCCCCATTACTATAAAGGATGACAAAGGCAACCTGAATCGCTGCATTGCAGATATCGTATCTGTGGGTATCTTTAGCTTATTAGAGATTTGGCAGTATATCCTGCAGTCAATGGTTCTGCTTGGATGAATGCCATAGAATGAACGCAGTTGAGTAGTTCCAGCAGTTCCATTTAGCAGATTTATTTATTTATTTGTTTATTTATTTAACTTTGCAATTTGTGGCCCGTATTCAGTGCCAAAGTGTAATTCATCTCAGTGCTCTATGTTACTAGAAGAGACTGACATTAAGCCCTGTCAAAACATAAATAACCGCACAAGACAGAGGCACCATAAAGAGATTATAATACATGGCAAGCTGATTCTGTATACTTTCTGCTTTTGAACTGCCATTTTAAAAAGCTTTATTAATATTAAGTTTTATTTGTTAATTTTAGGTCATTGCATGTGTTGGCCCCTGACAGTGCTGTAAAATTAAATTATTATTCTATTGTTCTGCTTCCTCTAGCTTTTCATCACAGTGATGGACAAACTAAGACTGGAGATTCGAGCCATGGATGAGGTATTTAAAGTTAAAGGCTACTTAATTACAGTTTCGTTAGTGGATTTGGACTAGGTGACCCCTTGAAAAAGACAAGTAATCAGACGTGAGTTTGATTATTCATATGTGTCTATTTTAGATCCAGCCAGATCTTAGGGAGCTAATGGAGACCATGAACAGGATGAGCAACATGCCACCAGATTCAGAGGCCAAGGATAAGGTCAACCTCTGGTAAGGAAGGATTTTCCTGCAAATAAGCTATAAGAGAAAGGCTAGTACAGGGGTCGGCCACATGTGGCTCTTTTACTGCCCTGTTGCGGATCCACAGCAGAATTAGATTTTAAGTGAAAATAATCCTCTTTTGCGGTGAAATAAAGCTCTGCTGATCATTCTGACAGTTTTAACAATAAATGGTCTTAAACGCTGGAGTTAATGTATAACTGCTAATTCGCCGACCTTTAAAGTATAGTTAAGACTAACATAATTTGGAGACAAATTGACTTATTTGCATTTATAAGCACTCAACTACTTTCCTGATATGTTTATAGTATGCAGCAAGAAACTGTCAAACAAAGCTTCTTGATTGAATTTTCCCATTCCACCTTTAATCGTGCAGGACTTAGCAACATTTTCACACCTCAGGTGCAGTTTTAGGTGGAACGGGAAAAAAAATAGAACCTGGCAAATGAGGATCTGACTTCAGCATTGTAAAAAGTCAAACATTGAGAGACATTTTACAAGAAACTATTCTAGTTTTGCTGGAAAAATTTCCTGCCAGAGATGCGAGAAAAGCTGCTATAGCTGAGCTAAAGCTTAAAGCAGAGCAAAGTAAGTAAGTAAATAAGCTAATGTAGCCTATAGTAGTACATTAGCACATACTGAGACATATTTACAGCCACGATGGTAAAATGTTACTTCAATAAAATGGATATAAAATGTTGTGGCTCCTAAGGTGGTTTGATTTTTGTTGAAAGGACAACATGGCTCTTCTTAACATTTGGGTTGCCGACCCCTGGGCTAGTAGAAATAGATGTATATATTTTTCATATAAGGTTTTGTTCTTCTTTTTCGTTGATCAGTGGTATTGTACATAAACATGTACATTTGTCTAATTTTTCTACACCTGCGTTCCATATTTCCCCCTGGCTGTTTCCATCCACAGGTTGACCACTCTGAGCAGCATGTCTGCCTCTGACGAGCTGGATGACTCTCAGGTTCGCCAGATGCTGTTTGACCTGGAGTCTGCCTACAATGCCTTCAACCGGTTCCTACACTCCTCCTAAATAATGCTACCATTGGACTCAGAACTGTGCTTTCTCTACATGACCAGCCCTCTGTCATCCAGTTCCTGATCCCTTTGCTCTCTACTGGAAGCCTATTATGGATACAGAACTCTAATGTTTAGGAATCTGATGCAGAGACTCTTTAATATCCCTCTGGGGTTTTAGTGAGGAATGGGTGTGTGACATTGCTGTCAGGCTCTTTCTTTGTCATTTATGTAGCTTTAACTAACCATGATTTCAGATTTTTGTTATATTGTGAGCCTGCTTAAATCTGTCTGTACCCATTAGATAAAGGCCTCATGCATATTGCTTCTTTGAGGAAAGAACAGTGCTTTCCTACACTCTGAAAAAGATGGTTCTTCATGGGTTGTTTAGTAAAGAAAATGGTTCTATATAGAACCATGAACGCTTAAAGAACCCCCTGTATGTTTAAAGGGTTTTTTGCATCATGAAAGGTTTCTTCAGATAGATGGAAATTGTGCATGAATATGACGGTTCTATATAGAACCTTTTTGAAAAGGGTTCTTTATAGCACCTGAAAGAGTTCTTCTATTGTTACAAGCTTGACGTAACAATAGAAGAATCCTTGTGGGTGCTAAATGGAACCATTTTCGAAAAGGTTTCATATAGAACCATCTACAGCACATTCTCCATCAATCTGAAGAACCTTTTCATGATGCAAAGAACCCTTTAATCATGTGAAAGGTTCTTTGAGTGTCCATGGTTCTATGTAGAACCATTTCTTTACTAAAGAACACTTGAAGAGAGTCTTTTTTGAAGAGTATATGCCATAGAATCAACACACATTTGCATGTTTTTAATCCTCACTAAAGAGATTTGCCTCTAAAATTTTTGAATTTGCAGCTAAAGAATCTACTCAGATTTAGAGCTAGGAATTAAGGAACACGTCTAAATTAATCTTCAATCCAATATTTTTTCTTCTCCATATAAAATACCTTGTTAAAGCAACATTGTTCTGAATGGCCTGCACTGGCGTGGAAAGTAGACAGCTGCTTTGTGAACGTAATGGTTTGTGGGGTTTTGGCAAAGCTGCAAAAATGCACTCAAACAACAAATCTTGTATTAATTATAGGAATCTAATAGACTCAATATAAGTCATTGCTTGTGTTTGGCAACTTAAACATGTTTACACTCGTGTTGAAGTTGCAGCACTTCACATCTTTACAGAGAAACATGATGAGAGGGTTTACAATATCTGGTGAAGGAAATCCTTATAAATTACAAGTCTATTATAAAGCGTTTGTCTTAGATTTGTTTTGTCTTATCACAGTTTAATTTTTCTAGTATTTGTAAATCAGTAAATCAGTTCAATAAATTGTCAACAGGAATGATTTACAGTTTAATTTCTCTGTTCTTTGGTTGCAGAAAATCGTTTCACTTTATTGTAAGAGAAGTCATATTTATTAAAGGACCACTGTTGGAAAAAAAGTTTTAAAATGAAGCATGTAAATCTTTCAGAAATAAAATCACAAAAACGCTACCAGTTTTTACACTGTGGCTCCTTTAAGTGGCGCCGTCTGGCTGCGTCTCCATGGCGACAGTTACAAAACGAAGCGGAGCGAGACTTTGCACTGTGCTGCTGTTATCGAGGGAGAGGGAAACTTTGGTTTACAGTTCTCAGCCAGCACCCGAATGTCCGTCTGAAGAAGTAGATAGTCGCCCAGAATGTCGAGAAAAGCAGCAGCAATACTAACTGACCGGTAACTTTGCAAATTTTGTTTTTTGTAGCCTTCGCCAATCGCGGCGGCTAGCTAGCTAAAAGCTAACTACCGTTGGCAGGCTGGTTGAACCGTAACAGTTCTGAGGAGCTGCGTTGGGCGCTCTGGGCTGAGTTCTGCAGCTGAGCGTCCACTGCTCTGAGAAGAGTTAGCACTAACTTTCTGTCTCAGACTCAAACTGTTTTGTGCTACAAGAAAGTGTAGCTAAGGTTACAGCGGCTACCTGCTGTGAATGCTTTCTGACATGGTCAGAAAGACGGTTTTTGTCACAGCGTAAACAAAAGAACTCTAAAAAAATGAACCTTACGGAAGTGGAAGAGCACATCACCTTGAAGTATGAAATCAAGAGAAGACTAGGAAAAGGGGTGAGTTTAAACCTTGTTACTGTAGCCAGAGAATGACACTTATTTACCCAGCCATACTTCTTATTGCTGTTTTCATTTTATGTAAGCTATACTTAAGATAGTTCTTTAAGGGTTCTTTAGTAAAGGAAATGGTTCTATATAGAACCGGTTGCATGCTTAAATGCTTCAGATTGAAGGAGAATGTGTTGTATGTGTACGATTTCGAGATTGTACAATGGAAGAACCCTTTTTGGTGCTACCATTTTCAAAAAGGCTCTGTAGAGAATCATATAACCTACAACACATTCTCCGTCAATCTGAAGAACTATTTCACCATGCAAAGAACCATTTGGTTCTTTGTACATGGTTCTGTATAGAACCACTGTCTTCACTAAAGAACCCTTGAGGAACCATCTTTTTTAAGAGTGTACCTTCTTACCTGTTTACTAAACGCTCAGATTTTTTATTATTTAAGTTGCTTAGAGGTCTTAGCTCATTTGTTCGTACAAAGCTGTAGCTATAAAATATTTCCCCTTTTGAATGAATTCGATTCATACCAGTAGGAGAACAGCCCTTATAACATCTATAAACCATTTGGTTCTTAGGATCCATTTTGAATCCCAGTTATTACATGCTTGGCAGGACAGCTCTAACTTTAGCGTCTACGTGCCAGGTGGCAACCTTGTTGATTACTGTGCACATAGATTTGCCTGTGACTGTACCTTGGGGACCAGGAGGGGCCGTGGCTCCTGTTTCATACGATTACAGTGTAAAGGACGGACAAGTGGTACAGGCAGAATAACTCACTGAGCTAAATACATAAGTTCCATTTTAAACAAGAATAATTTATATCATTTTCTCCCGACATTCTTTCTGTTCTGTGCTCTGAGTGGTCATGTGATTAGGATACTGTGAACACAATGTTATGAACACAAACAAAGATTTTAAAATGAGCAGTAGCTTGCTTTCATCGTACAGAAGACAGGAACATCACTGAGGACCTGAACAAGCTATAAGAACAGAACTATACAAAGAGAGATGATCCATGAAGGGGAAAATTCTTGCTCAAATTGTTCCGTTCCACCCTTAAATACTGCAGCAGTTAATGCTGGTGATTTTGAATTTCAGCATACAAAGTGTGACAACAGGTGTCATTTACAGCATTGTTTTAAATAGTTTTTTTTTAAACTTAAAGTACTGTGTATAGTATTTCATTTATTTAGATTATCTTCAAAACATTATTAATTTTGTCAGCATCAGAAAAAAGACAACATATATATTTAACAGAAAATTGAGTTCTCACAGTGGAAGGATGGACAGAAACAGCAGTGGATTTTTTCAGATCTGATGCAATCTTGATTTTCTCCTCTCTCTCTAAGATGAAAGCTTTAAGTGCTGTTTATTTGATGGAGGCAATTTTGGTGGTCTCCCAGGTCTTGCACAGCTGTTAGGAGTCCTATTTGCTCCAAATCCTTTGATACTTTTCTGAACTGCAGTTTTGGAAACCCCTGTTTTTTTCAATTATTTACTTTTTTCTTTTATTTGACTTTCTTATGCTTGTGGATTGTCTTATATCTGATCTCTATCCTCAGAAATATCTTCTGGATGTTAAAAAATCAAGGGTGGTCTCTGACTGATGCACAGTACTGTAATCATTACGTAATTTCTGCCTCTCTCATGACAGGCGTATGGAATTGTGTGGAAGGCAGTGGATAGAAAAACAGGAGAGACGGTGGCTGTGAAAAAAATATTCGATGCTTTCAGGAATCGAACTGATGCTCAGGTCGGAGAAAGTTACAGTTTATAATATTATGCACGCTTCTGTCACATTATATGGCAGTTATATTTATACATGTACTTATCCATAATTTTATTCTTCAGTTATTAATTGTTCATTTTCTTGGTTTTATTTAGAGAACATTCAGAGAAATCATGTTTCTTCAGGTGAGGACACTCTGTAAACATGAACAAACTGAACACACACTCCACTCCTTCATCTGTAGTAGTTATTTGATACTCTCAATGTGCCTGCATGATGTATTACAAACACCAGATGGTTCTGCTTTATCCACGTGGTCACAGCAGGCATTAATCTTGGTTTTGGTTCATATATGATGCTGTTGAGTTCAAAATATTCGCTGTATATATGCTGTGTGCTGTTTGTGTGCTTCTCACCTTTGTCCATTTTATCTGAAGTGCAACCACCCCTTTATACCATCACGTGATAGAGCACTTAATTCTGTCTTAATACACAGAATGTCAAACAGTGGCCTTCCAGCATTATTTACTGATGCTGTCCTCAAGATCACATATTTTTTGTTTTATTGAATATTTAAGAGTGCAACCGTATGTAATTCTGCCTGCTTTCTTTCCTTCAGGAGTTCGGAGATCATGCAAATATCATCAAATTACTGAATGTCATCCGAGCCCAGAATGACAAAGACATTTACTTGGTCTTTGAGTACATGGGTAAGGCTTGTTTGTCTACAGTCTATGACAAGAATATGAAGTATCCACATATATTGGCTTCTTTCCAAGTTGCACCTTTTCTTGTTTGCTGCTGGCTCCTTCTGAAGCGTTTTTGGCTCTTTGCTTTTTCACGTTACCCATATTAGGCTCCTCAAAACTGATGTGAGGGATCCATTTAGAGAACACCATAACAAGATTAAAGGATAATTCTGTGGCCTGGTAGACTACAGACTAGCACTACCACTTGATGGTGAATAAATCAGGAACAGATCTCCAGTATGTGAGCATATGAGTGCAAGCTACCCCAAAGAGAAGAATATAGCCAAGAGTTTACCACAAGATACAAAGCGCTGTTGATCCTGTGTTAAGAGCAGAAGGGCCAGGGAAAAGTCTGTGAAAAGTACTCAAAACTAGATTTCTCAAAGCTTCTCGAAGCTTTTCAAAGCTTCATCTTGCAGCAGAACAGTGACTACAAACACACTGCAATTATAGAGTTTTTCAGAGCCACAAGGAGGAATATTCTTGACTGGCCTTGTCAGTCACCCTGTTATAACTTACTGAGGACAAGACTGTGGGTAACAACCATCCAAAACAAGCTGGAATTGAAAATTACAGGCCTAGAAGAACATTACCAGGATATACCTGACCAATAAAATAAAGAATAAAACAGGATGACCATTGCTTGGGGGGATATTGACTCTAGGAAAGAAAGAATTTCAGGAGTCCTACAGAATACAGCAGGAAACCATAAAAATAACAAATAATAATAAATTATCATTCTTCATTCTTTTATATCTAATAAACCTTCGTGTCTTAAGATTAAACCTTAAAGTTTCCTCTTAAATATACCAAAATTGCATTTCTACTTGCTAAGTATTTAAAACAGTAT